GTTCACCCGGTAGACTCTGTCCAAACTGGTTGACAGGTTTGAGATATAAACAGTGGTGAGCTACGATCTGCTCCTTGACGTTGGCCTGAAACAATAGCTTTTGCCATAGCTTTGCTACTATCAGTCACATCCATGCCTGTTGTCTTTGCTTCATTCTTGCCATCTTGCATATCAACTTTGCTTGTCTCCTCAGTGGTTGACAAATTTAAATGTGATAAATTCAAATCTGTTTCACTGTCTTTACTTGAACCTGGAGCTGCAACAGCTCCATCAACCTCATCCTTGCCACTATTGCATGGCGTCTTGTCATCCACATGACTGTCACATGGTGTCTTGTCATCTTCATGACTGTCACATGGTGTCTTGTCATCTCCATGACTGTCACATGGTGTCTTGTCATCTCCATGACTGTCACATGGTGTCTTGTCATCCACATGACTGTGATATGGCGTCTTGTCATCCACATGACTGTCACATGGCGTCTTGTCATCTCCATGACTGTCACATGGTGTCTTGTCATCTCCATGACTGTCACATGGCGTCTTGTCATCCACATGACTGTCACATGGCGTCTTGTCATCTCCATGACTGTCACATGGTGTCTTGTCATCTCCATGACTGTCACATGGTGTCTTGTCATCTCCATGACTGTCACATGGTGTCTTGTCATCTCCATGACTGTCACATGGAGTCTTGCATAAATTACTGTGCTGTTCAACACCTATAGTATCACCAGCACTGTCACCTAGATCAGCTGGTTGGGTATCGCTTTGCTGGTCTTTCTCTAAGGCATCATCAGAATAAATACAGTCACCACTCTTTACTGGATCATCAGTCTCAGTAACTTCTCTATTATCAACATCTGTCATTGTTATTATTTCTGATCCAGTTTGCTTGTTGTCTCCAATGTCAGCAACTACAGGTACAATGCTTTTTTGCATATTGTCTTTACTAGTTTCGCTATTGACGGATTCACAGTCTGATGTTGGCCGACTGCCATCAGAAGAACTATCTGACCTGTCCTTCACAGGTGGTTGGAACACATCAACAGAATATCTACAAGAGAAATAGTTCTTATAAAATATTACTGAGTAGATTAATTTAATTTTCAGGAAGCTGTGGTGCAACTTGCTATTGGCTTTTCATTTCATTAAGCAACAAAAAGAGAAATTTTCTTTTTGAGAAATGTTGCTAGACTTTAAATATACAAAAGTGGTAAAAGAGATTAGAGTTGAGAAAAAAATGTTATACCAACGTAAGGAAAGCTCTTTGTAGATTTCTAGTTTTCCAAATGAGTTTAGATTTTCACAATGAAAAGAAGATATTCCCTTCTCCGTAGCATCACAAAAAAGTGGTAACTTACTTTGCAAATCCTTCCACCATTGAACACAGTCTAGAGAAAGTGGCTTTAGACTCTGGTAGACTCACAATAAAAGGCAACCCTACTGGGTCTGGCATGGGTTTACACAATGTTTTATGGTTCTGCCAATGACGTTTTTGACACTCCCTGAAAACAAGAAGCATTTCAAAGTGTATCCCTATTATCTGACAGGTGTTTTAGTATACTGTGACATGCATTTTATGGTATATGTAGTTAAAAAGATTTCATGATACTGTGTATGATGGCAAACATGGTGACAAAATACCTTGATACCTTACATGAGCTGGTCAATAATTCATAAACTAGAAGGCACTCAGAGAGGTCATTATTTTTATTTACCTGATCATATTTTGCAACAAGACAGTGTGCCATTATTACCACCTAGATCGTTTCTACTGTATCATTATGGTGCACCCACAAAGTAGCAGACATCATATACATTGTTTTTTTTAAATAATATTACCTTGTATGTTTATTTAGAGACTAAAAGCTAACATGATTGTATTCGGGGATTCCCTTTTAATGCAAGTACTAGTAAGTGAACACGGAAATGATGTATAGTACTTACTGATTACAATATGCCACTCTGTAACATTTTGAACATCGTCTTAGCTTCACTGCAACAGTCGGCTCAAATTTACAGTTGCAGCATTTGGTAATGGGATGATGAGGCAGCATTGTTCGCTGTTGGAAGCAATAATACATAAGAACAAATAAAACTATTTTGGTATTTACAACAAGTCATTTGTGCTCGTCATATTAAAGTGGAGAGGTTGTTCGGAGCGTGTCCTTGAAACTTGAGTCGCAAGTGGTGTATACAACAGATTGTTTATTTGCACCAAATTCAAACATGTGTTGCGTGACGACCCCTCCGGTTTAAGACATAGCAAAGAAAAACATAGATCACAAGTGAAAGCATGTCCAATTATCACATTTTAAACAAATTTTGATCAAATTGCAAATTGAATTGACATGTACATGTATCCATTTATGACATGCTAAATATCAATGAAAATGATACATGGGTGACAGAGATATAGTAATATGGCCACAAATAAAAACACTCGTTATACGGCCATTTTTGATCTGATTATGAAACAAAGTGACATGTATGATGTATATGCCAAATACAAATGAAAATGGTACATAAATCTTGGTAATATAGTAGTAAGGCCAAAAAGTCAGATGGCTGTCAATTGGCCATCCTTGAATCCGATTTTGAAACAAATTGTCTTGGACATGTATCCTAACATGTATAAAGTATGTGCCAAATTTGAATGAAAACTGACAAAGCATGTCCAAGATACCACATTTAAAAAACAAACAAGATGCCTGCCAGTCGACCATCTTTGATCCAATTGCCAAAGAAATTGTCATGGACATGTATCCTAACATGTATAATCTATGTACCAAGTTTGAACAAAAACTGACAAAGCATGTCCAAAATATAACATTTTCAAAAAACAAGATGGCTGCCAGTCGGCCATTTTGAATCGTATCACTAAACCACTGCATGTGCATATTTTCCCAATAAAATACTAGGCACATGCAAAGAATGAACAGAATCGGTCCAAAGAATTCTGAAATATGACCTTGGACAGACGAACGGATGGACGCACGGACGGATGGACGATTAGAGGACATGTATCCTAACATGTATGATCTATGTACCAAATTTGAATGAAAACTGACAAATACATGTCATGGCTATTGAACCACTGGTTTGAATGACCATGGCTCTGAGACCTCTGGTTTGATTGGCCATGGCTCCCAAACCACTGGTTTTATTGGCCATTTCTTCCTAGACCACTGGTTTGAATGGTCATGGCTCCTAAACCACTGGTTTGATTGGCCATGGCTCCTAGACCTCTGGTTTGATTGGCCATGGCTTCTAAACCACTGGTTTGATTGGCCATGGCTCCTCGACCTCCGTGTCAAAAAACAAGATGGCTGCCAGTCGGCCATTTTGAATCAAATCGCTAAACCACTGTATGTGCACGTCCGGACGGACGCATGGATGGATGGACGGAGACAGAATTATAAGTCCCGGTTTTTGGACTTCGTTCGAACGGGGACTAATAACGGTTTGAAAAAATAGTCTTTTGCCAGGCAGGGATTTTTATTTTATGTGACAACATAATCGCAGTTTAACTACAGGAATTTTTAATTGAAAAAGTGAAAAAAAGACATCTAAGATAGTCTTCAGAATATATTTCCTTAATTCAACTAAGTGCTCATCATTCACTAAATAGAAAGAAGTACATGAAATAACAAAAACATTGGTGGGATTCCCATAGCTAATTTGCATAAAATATTTTTTTCTCCCAACAAATTGGAAGGTATGGTTACCAGATACACCTAATACATTGTATTTGATCTAACTAATTACATCAATACATCTTGCAGTGAAGATAACACTAGACGATTTACAATATTCAGAAAGTGTCTTACATGTGTATTAAGGTAGCGAGAAGGGAAATTTTCACTTTTTTCTTGATTTTTTCAAAAATTGATAAAACGGTTACTTTAGACCTTGATACATCATTCCAGGTTTACAAAAGATCAATATTGCGAAATACCGTTGCTTAAATTAGTGTTTCAAAACGCTAGCAGAAAAGACTGCAACTGCCGTTTCGTGGATATTTGTATATAATGTTTATCTTTGGAAGGGTTTAAATGATAACATCTTATCTGTATACTCTGTTGTTGACGATTCTGATATAACGGGTGATAAGCTTCCCGTCGCAAACAATGCGTGTTTATCTAACGTCCATTGTCAGCATTATTGTCAGTCGAGACTTCGTCGGAGAAACATGGTCATACAGTACTCATTTCGCCCAACCATTCCGCTTTTACTCGACCACTTATCGCTTAATTTCCGACCATGCGGTCTTGCCCGAAACCGACTGCATTTTAATCGCGTTTTTTTTTTCGCTTGCTTGCTTATTGAAACACCGACCGCTCGCCCAAACACTGATCACGGGCACATGAGTGGTCGAAATAGTGATTTTGATAGTAAAGTGTGAACATACAACTAGTATTAACTATTATTAAATTCTGAACGGCACTTCAAATCTAATAGTTGTATGGCACTTGTATCGTGAAAGCAACTGAACTGTTCTAGATGTAATATTTTTTATTATTTTAATGAGACAGAAAAAAAGCATACTAGGTAACTCATTTTGACAGTCTGAGAGCAGAGAAACGAGGAAATGTTAATGATTAATTCCAAAAATAACGATATCAAATCCACGTCGGCCGGTCTGGTAAAATTTGACATTCAATTTTCAAAAATAAGTCATGATCATTGAATGAGTTCAGTCTATGTGACCGTATACGTACCCTAAAAGTGTTCCCACAACCATAGTCCCTCTATCCAGACCGGGGATAGAGGAACCGTGCCACAACAAATATTTTCGACTAAAAACGGCCACATGCCCTGAAAAAATCGAACAGAGCTTGACATGTATGAATAATTTATTTGGCTAAAAAAAACGTGTCAAATTTAGTTATAGCCATAACTATTTGGTGGCCAGTCGATGAACAATTTGAAACTCAGGAATCACACGGAAGTCCTTCAGGGCTGAAAATTATCGACCCGACTCTAGTTTACTTTATTACCCAACTTGCAGAGAAAACTGATTCGCCGTGGACTCTAATGTATCTCAGCCTAGTATTTTCTTTTTGAACTGAGGTCAAATTCCACCCGTTTGTCAAAATATACCGATGTTTTTCAGCGAATAATTTTGAAGCCTGTCACAGCACAAAAAGACTATGTGAATCGACGCCTGAAATTGGATGGTACGACGACCCTTCAATTAGCGTCAAATATGCTTTGTTACAACATCATTGATTGGCTGAAAGTCACATGATCGGAACACGACCTGGGTAACAGAACCATATTTGTCCGTATTATCAACAGGACCTCACAAAAGAACCACACCTACATTTTCAATCTTTTTTAGCGCGACCGAGCGGGCGGGCGTTCGGTGATATTTTGGGGTTTGCGCGGTCGAAAATAAAGCGGAAATTGTCCGGTCGAATTCAACAAGCGGTCGCAAAAGCTAATACCATTTTTTCTAACGCAATGGCAAAGAAAAGAAAGCA